AAAAAAAAAAAAAAAAAAAAAAAAAATCCTTTTTGCTCACCCTGTGAAAAACACATGGGCCAGTATGTATCATGCTCAACAGATAAGTGCTGTTTGAATCACACATGAGTGCCTTTCATCATTCTTAATCCTCCTTGACCACCTTGGGGCAGTTGACACAGTTGACTTGTCCCTTTTCCTGGCTCCCTGACACACCACTCCTGCTTCCCACCCCCCCATCTTTTGACATATCATTTATTACTTCTGTTTCTTTTTCCTCTTTGCCTATGGCAAAATTTCAATACTTAGTCCTTGACCTAAGGACTAAGAGGGCAGGGCCCTCAGTCCTGGCTCAGTGTTTCTCATTCTACACTTTCTCCTTTCACAAGTTGTTGAAGAAATTGTCCTTTTCATGATTTCAACTCTAATCCCATCTCTGGCACCAGTACCAAAGTCAGTTCCAGCTCTGAATTGCCATTGGATTACAAAGCACTTCTTGGCACACCAACAACATAATAGCACACTCTTTTCATACTTTTTTGTTCCAAACCCCAAGACTCAGAATGTGACTGTGTTTAGAAATAGGATCATCTTTTAGAAAGAGTCTCAGTTGAGCATGGTGGCTCAGGCTGGGCACGGTGGTTCACACCTATAATCTCAGCATTTTGGGAGGCCGAAGTGGGTAGATCACCTGAGGTCAGGAAGGTAATATATAGGGCTCAGATATGAGAATCCCAGCTAGAGGTGGAGGCTGCAGTGAGCCTAGATCACGCTATTGCACTCCAGCCTGGGCACCATTTCCCGGGTTCAAGCAGTTCTCCTGTCTCAGCCTCCCAAGTAGCTGGGATTACAGGCATATGCCACTCCACACAGCTAATTAATTTTTTCTTTTGAGATTAGAGTCTCACTCTGTCGCCCAGGCTGTAGTACAGTGGCATGATCTTGGCTCATTGCACCCTACCGGCTTCAAGCAATTCTCATGCCTCAGCCTCCCGAGTAGCTGGGACTACAGGTGCATGCTACCATGCCTGGCTAATTTTTTGTATTTTTACTAGAGAAAGGGTTTCACCATGCTGGCCAGGGTCTCGAACTCCTGACCTCATGATCTGCCTGCCTTGGGATTACAGGTAAATGTGTAAAGTGCTGGGATTACAGGTGTGAGCCACCGTACCCGGCCCCGGCCCCTAATTTTTGTACTTTTAGTGGAGACCGGGTTTCACCCTGTTGGCCAGGCTGGTCTCATACTCCTGTGATACACCCACCTTGTCTTCCCAAAGTGCTGAGCCACCATGCCTGGCCTGAGTTTTACTTCAAATAAGAAAGTCCCTGTATTCACAGCCCCCAGTTGCCAGTTTGGGGTATAGTCCTGGAGTATATTCCTGGGTCGCTTCCTGCTCTCCAGTCTTTTTAAAAAGCTAGATATTAAGTAGATACAAAAGAATATTTATAAAATACAAGCAAGTTATAAAGGATCATGATTCCATGAATATCTGGGTGTGCATCGTCTCAAGAAAGAAAAATCCCAGCATTTTCTTTGAAGTCCTGGTGTGCCTCTTCCCAATCTTATCACTTTCCCTCTCCACTCAGAGGAAATCACTATTCTGAATCTTGCATTTGTCATTTTCTTTTATAATTTTTTTCTTTTCCCCTGGAGTTAGGGATTTTTGATCATTGTAATGCAAAAGTTTGTATTGCTAATGCAAACATTGTTATTTACGTTTCTCTATAACTTGCTTTTTTCATTTAACATTATGTACTTGACATTCATTCCTGATGTTCTTCAAGTTTTGTAGTTCTTCATATATTCCAGATCCTAATCCTTCGTCAGTTATGTGTTTTGTGGTTTATTTCTTTTATGCTATTTTTTTGTGAAGATAAATTCTTAATTTTTATGAGGTTGAATTTAGCTTCAGGAAAGATATAAATCTTTCCTTTTTAAAATGGTTTATGCTCCTTTGTCTTGTTCAAGAAGTCCTTGCTTACTTTAAGATTGTAAAAGTACTCTCCTATACTTGCCTTCCAAAATGTAATTTGACTTTCATATTTAGGTTTTTAATTACTTTTATTTTTTTTCCAGATGGAGTATCGCTCTGCTGCCCAGGCTGGAGTGCAGTGGCGTGATCTTGGCTCACTGCAACTTCTGCGCCTGGGTTCAAGCGATTCTCCTGCTTCAACCTCCCGGGTAACTGGGACTACAACTGTGCCAACACGCCCAGCTAATTTTTGTATTTTTAGTAGAGACAGGGTTTCACCATATTGGCCAGGCTGGTCTTGAACTCCCGACTTGATCCGCCCACCTTGGCCTGCCAAAGTGCTGGGATTACAGGCATGAGCTACCTCACCCAGCCTACATTTAAGTTTTTAATCACTTGGAATTGATTTTTGTGACTGTGGTATGAGGCAGAGATCCAATTTTCTTTTGTTTTTTTCTTTTCTTTTTTTTTTTTTGAGACAGAGTCTCGCTGGAGTGCACTCCAGGCTGGAGTGCAGTAGCATGATCTTGACTCTCACTGCAACCTCCATCTCCTGGGTTTCAAGCGATTCTCCTGCCTCAGTCTCCTGAGTAGCTGACATTACAGGAACCTGCCACCCCACCTGGCTAATTTTGTTATTTTTTGTAGAGATGGGGTTTTGTTATTTTTTGTAGAGACGCTGACCAGGCTGGTCTTGAACTCCTGACCTCAGGTGATCTACCCACCTCAACCTCCCTAAGTGTTGGAATTACAGGCATCACCCACTGCACCCAGCCAATTTAATTTTTTTCTACATTGATAACCAATTCTCCCAGTACCACTTATCAAATAATATGCAAGTACCTTTCTGATCTGTAGTGCCTGCTCAGCCTTCAATCATGTTTCCATATATGTATGGGTTTTTCAGTGTCCTTTATTCTGTTCATTGGTCAAATTGTTTTATCCTGGAGTAAATGCTTTAGTCCTTTTTTTGTTTGTTGGTTTGAGACGGAGTCTTGCTCTGTGGCCTAGGCTGGAGTACAGTGGCACGATCGTGGCTCACTGCAACCTCTGCCTCTCGGGCTCTAGCAGTTCTCCCCCCTGCACCTTACAGGTGTGTGCCACAACCCTGGCTAATTTTTTTTTTTTTTTTTTTTTTTGTAGAAATTGGGTTTCACCATGTTGGCCACGCTGTTCTCAAACTCCTGACCTCAAGTGATCCACTCCCTCCAGCCTCCCAAAGTGTTGGGATTACAGGTGTAACCCAGTGCTGGGCCAACAATATACTTTAGTCTTAATTACTATATAGCTTTATAATAATTCTGGATAGCTGGCAAGGCAGTCCCCTTACCTTATTCTTCTTCAGGCTATTCTTGACCTTTTATTCGCCAATATAAATTTTAGAATTAGCTTGTTGTATAAAAAATTCTATTGATTAATATGGGAGAAATTGATACCTTTAGGACAATGAAGCTCCCAATCTGTAAGTATATTTCTCCATTGAATCATTTTTTTCCTCTTTTTTTTAGAGAGAGAAAGAGTCTTGCTCTATCACCCAGGTTGGAGTGCAGTGGTGCAATCATAGCACAATGGGATCGCAGGTGGCATGAGTCCCTGTGCCCAGCCTCCATTTATTCTTTATTTTACTAAAGTTGTGTAATATGATTTTGTTGTTGTTGCTGTTGTTTTTATAGAGATGGAATCTTGCTATGTTTCCCAGGTTGGTCTCGAACTCCTGAGCTCAAGGAATCCTCCCATCTTGGCCTCCCAAAGTGCTGAGATTACAGGTGTGAGCCACAATGCCTGGCCTAAAATATTGTAATTTTCTCCATAAATAATCGTACATTTTAATTGGATTTATTTCTAGGTACTTGACATATCTTGATGTCATAAATGGCATTTTTTTTTCTTTTTTTTTGAGATGGAGTTTCGCTCTTGTTACCCAGGCTGGAGTACAATGGCTCAATCTCGGCTCTCTGCAATCTCCGCCTCCTGGATTCAAGCGATTCTCCTGCCTCAGTCTCCTGAGTAGCTGGCATTACAGGAGCCCGCCACCATGCCTAGCTAATTTTTTTGTATTTTTAGTAGAGATGGGCTTTCGCCATGTTGGCCAGGCTGGTCTTGAACTCCTGGCCTCAAGTGATCCACCCGCGTTGGCCTCCCAAAGTGCTGGGATTATAGGCATGAGCCACCACATCTGGTAAATGGCATTTTTTAAAAGTCACATATTTTGTCACTGCTATCCAGTATTCCTCAAGTTTCTCACTGTTCCATTCTGTCAGTCACAGATAAGTCTTCTTAAAATGCTGTTTGAACAGATTGCTGTCCTACTCAAGATAGAGTGACTCCATGAAGCCTGGTGAATCAAGTACAAATGGCTTAAACGTCCATTCTTATTGCATCTCCATCTATCCATGGCCTTCCTCCTCCCACCTGAGCACTTGCATTTGACTTCAGACAGGCTCATCCTCTCACTTTATTCTCTCCTCCGTGCCTTTATTCAATTCCTTCCATCTCCAGGAAAGGAAGACTCTCCTCTCAGGCCTAGTCATACCCTTCCCATTTGGAAGGCTTAGTTCAAATCCCAGCTTGCTCATGGAGCCAAATAATGCCAATCACATAGATTGTTCCTCCTTGAAGATATAGTATGGCCTTTTAAATCTACACTAACCTTTGCATACAATTCTGTACATTTTTGTTAATTGCATGTATACATATTTGTCTTTGTTCATATTTTCTCGAACCCCAAATTGAGTTGGCCTACCTAATACTGAGAACATCAGGGCTGAGAGATTCAAAAGTGGTGGGACAAGAAGTCAGTCATGCCACAAGCCCATACAGTGCCTGTCTATGAATTAGATAGAGAAAAGCACCCAGCCTTGTAGAGGAGTGCATATCTTGGCATGTAGATCAAGGGCTACATTTCAGCCTCCACTCACCCTTTTAGCCAGTGGCTTTGTGCCATGAAGAACTGCCACAACTGTATATGATGGTGCTAGTGGCAGATCTGAGTATGATGCATGTCAACCCCATCTTTGTACTTTATTGTCCCCAGGGCCTAAAGGCCAATATGACACGTCTTTACCAACTGATGACAGAACCACAGTTTACCCGCTGCTCCAAACCTGCCAAATATAAGAAGCTGTTGTTTGCACTTTGTTTCTTCCACTCTGTATTACTTGAACGCAAAAAGTTCCTGCAGCTTGGCTGGAACATTATCTATGGCTTCAATGACTCCGACTTTGAGGTTTGTAACAGCCAGGGGTCCTCGTGCCAGCCCTTTCTCCCTACACTTCCTACCCCATGTCTTCCCTGTGGGAATATCCGCAGACAGAAAGGCTGTGTTGAAGCTCCATTGGCAGATTTCCTGCCATAACTGTGTGGGGATCGGGGCTTGGGTTGGGACTATGCCCAGGTGTCAGAGAACTTGCTGAGCCTCTATCTGGATGAGTACGAGGAGACACCTTGGGATGCACTCAAGTACCTCATTGCCGGCGTCAACTATGGTGGACATGTCACAGATGACTGGGACCGGCGCCTGCTGACCACCTACATCAATGACTATTTCTGTGACCAGTCTTTATCAACTCCCTTCTACCGGTGAGGGGAGGTGGCACTGGGCAGGGAGCCAGAAGTCACAAGCCAGCCAGGTGGTGGGATCAGGGGTGGAGGAAATGTTTGAGGAGAGGACATGAGATTGGGAGATGACAGAGTTTATGGGATTGGGAAGGGGTACAGGGCAGGGAGTTGGACAAATGTGACATGCATAGGTTTGGGGTCTTGGCCTGGCATTGAGGCCTGAGTCCCCACAATGTGGCAGTGATTATGCTATGACTTTCCAGGTTGTCAGCACTAGAGACTTATTTCATCCCCAAGGATGGGAGCCTGGCCTCTTACAAGGAATACATCAGCTTATTGCCTGGCATGGACCCCCCTGAGGCCTTTGGCCAGCACCCCAATGCTGATGTGGCCTCCCAGATCACTGAGGCACGAACCCTCTTTGATACTTTGCTTTCCTTGCAACCTCAGATTACACCCATCAGGGCTGGAGGCCAGACACGGGAAGAGAAGGTAAAATGAGCCAGGCCTTGGGGAGGGAATCAGGGCAGGACTGATTCCTGAAGAATTCCAGAAGTCAGGGCTACATTCAGAGCTCCTGCCTGCCCAGGTCCTTGAGTTGGCTGCTGATGTGAAGCAGAAGATCCCTGAAATGATCGACTATGAGGGGACCCGAAAACTGCTAGCTCTTGACCCCTCCCCCCTCAATGTGGTCCTTCTGCAGGAGATCCAAAGATACAACAAGCTGATGCAGACCATCCTGTAAGATGGAGAGGGACTCTGCGGAACATAGGAAGGGGTGGGGAGAGGCCAGCACCTTCTGGCTAGAATGACGTTACCAGGCCCACTCCATCTCTAACGCTCCACCTCATCCTGCTCAGGTTCTCACTGACAGACCTAGAGAAAGGCATCCAGGGCCTCATTGTCATGTCTACAAGCCTGGAAGAGATTTTCAATTGCATCTTTGATGCCCACGTTCCTCCACTCTGGGGAAAGGCAAGATGATGATACCATTGTTAATCCTTCTCCAACAATGAGCTCCCCTCTCAACCCTGTGCTCCCCAATCTCCTGGTTCTAGATTGGCATACAACAAACTGTAAAGAGCCTAAACTTTGAAGTTAGACAGGTTCAAGGTTGAAACCTGGCTCTGCCATTCACTGACTGACTTTGTACAACTTATTAACTTACAGACTTACTCAGGGCAAGTTACTAACCTCTCCAAGGATGTTTCAAAGATTCCCAGTACTGTGCATACCACTGAGAAGGTGCATCATTAATGGTACCTGGTTAATATTACTGTGGTCATTGTTATTAATGAATAGTTGTCGTATGCCTCTTTCCTGGAAGTTGGCTTTGGAGAGCTGTGCTCACCTGTAGTTGGGGAACAGGGGCCGATACCACACAGTCTTCTCATATCTGCTTCAGTGCTCAAAAATAAGGATTTGGGCTGGGCGCGGTGGCTCACGCCTGTAATCCCACCACTTTGGGAGGCTAAGGCGGGTGGATCACCTGAGTTCAGGAATTCGAGACCAGCCTAGCCAACATGGCAAAACCTCGTCTCTACTAAATAAATACAAAAATTAGCCATGTGTGGTGGTGAGCGCCTATAATCCCAGCTACTAGGGAGGCTGAGGCAGGAGAATTGCTTGAACCCAGGAGGCGGAGGTTTTGGTAAGCTGGGATCACAGTGTTGCACTACAGCCTGGACAACAAAAGCGAAATTCCAACTAAAAAATAAATTAAAAAAAAATAAAAAACACAAAAATAAATAAAAAATAAGGATTTGAATGCATGGCTAAATGAGAGAATAAGCATGCACTCCTTCCCTAGGCATACCCCTCACAAAAGCCATTGGCTGCTTGGACACGGGACTTGGCCATGCGTGTGGAGCAGTTTGAGCTGTGGGCCAGCCGGGCCCGGCCTCCTGTCATCTTCTGGCTGTCTGGTTTCACCTTTCCCACTGGCTTCCTCACTGCTGTGCTGCAGTCTTCCGCTCGCCAAAACAACGTAAGCAATGTGCAGTGAGAGCAGGATGTATGCTGTGGCCGTGCGTTTATTCTCCTCTTCAGGGTCTTCCCTTATTCTCACCTTCAACCCGCAGATTTCAGTGGACAGCCTCTCCTGGGAGTTTATCGTCTCCACTGTGGATGACAGCAACCTAGTGTATCCACCCAAGGTGGGAGCCAGTTGTGCTTGGGGATCTGAGCAAAAGAGGGTACTGGGAACAAAAATGGGAAATAATTGGATGAGAAGGGAGGAGAGAGGTAGCAGGTCAGGGGTGCTGGCAACTGAAGTCTAGCTTCTCCCAGACCTGCTCCCACTTTTCCCCAGGATGGTGTCTGGGTTCGGGGCCTGTACCTGGAAGGTGCTGGCTGGGACCGGAAGAACTCCTGCTTGGCGGAGGCAGAGCCCATGCAGCTTGTCTGCCTCATGCCTACGATCCACTTCCGGCCTGCAGAGAGTCGCAAGAAGAGCGCCAAGGGTGGGACAGCTCCCCAAGACTTGCCTGCCCCATCCCTAGTTTGGAACCTAACCCATCCTCTGCTCCAGCCCATCCCACACCTGCCCCTGCCCTGCTCTCCCGGAGGCTCCAGGAATCTGACTCCTCCTCTCCTTTCCCCCAGGCATGTACTCCTGTCCCTGTTATTACTATCCCAACCGGGCAGGCAGCTCAGACCGAGCCTCCTTTGTCATTGGCATCGACCTGCGGTCTGGGGCTATGACGTCTGATCATTGGATCAAGAGGGGCACTGCTCTACTCATGAGCCTGGACAGCTGAGACCTCCTTGTCTTCTCCACTTGACAGAGGGTCGGGGACTCCAGGAGCTAAGACAGATATTGCACCTAGGACTGAGGCTGGACTGACCTCAGACTTTGACCTTGGTCGAATTTGTGTGATGTAGCCCTGGAGATACCTAGTTGTGCTAGCCATAAAAGTGAAAGCGTTGTATTGGAGCTCCGTGCTGTAAAACACCCGCGACATCAAGCCTTACGTCTCTCAATGCAATGGTGAGGGCCTGGGGAGGGAGGAAGCCCGGGCTTCACAGAGGACAGAGCTACAGTGAAGCTCCTACTGCACGAAGCAGCTAAGGAGGTGGGGCGGCCTGGAGAGGAACGTAGGCGTGGCCTTGAACGAATGGGCAGGGCGGAGGGGGTGTGAGGAGGCTGTCGCTAAGTCTCGGGGCAGGACTTGAGTGGGTGGGGCGGGGCTTACCTTTGAACGGCGCGTGATCCAAATGGGATAGGGATTTGTCAGGCAGGGATCAGGGCTGAACCCTGTACACTGCACCCTGAAGCTTGCACCCCGCATCCGGCATCCTAGCCGACACCAGCGCTCAGGCGAACGGGACCAGCAGAAGATGGGGCGGAGCCGAAGAGGGGGACTTGAGCGTGAGGAGGGGCGGGACCACGAGAAGGGGGCGGGGCTGGGGAGCAGGGGTGCGGGTGTTTGTGTTGGAAAATCCAACTGCGCCACTGGGCGGAGCGGCCCCCCCAGCCCCGGCCTGGGAGAAGGGGGGGCCGCTCGACCCCCTGGGAGACCTTGCGGAGCCTGAACACCTGGGACCCCCCAGAACCAGGTAACGGGGAGCTGCGAGGACATCTGGAAAGAGGGAAACTCTGTGTGCAGGGGTCAGGACGCCTAAGTCTGGAGGGGTAGAGCTGGGGATGGACGTTTGGGTCTTGGGAAGGGCACTGGGAAGAAGACTGGGGCGAAGGTCATGGGTCCCCTAGAAGAGAGTACGGCGGGGAAGGAGGAAGACCTGGGAGGCAGATATGTCAGGTTCCGGATGTCCAGAGAGGCCTGAAAGGACTCCAGTTCCCCTTGGGCTGCAATTCCTCTTCTCGACTCCTGGGCGGGGTGCGGTGGTCCTCACTGAAAGGCAGGACTAAAGGGCAGAGTTTGCAGACAAGCCAATGAATGCCCTGACCTATTGAGGTCAGATGTGGTCAGACTGGGGTGTGTCCCGGTCCCAGGGCTACTTTAAGTCTCCCTCCAGTTCTCTGCATGGGTGAGGAGTAGAAACCTCAGTCTGACCTTCCCAGCGGTCCCGAGAGCCTCCCAGCAGTAGCCTTCGCCTCCATCCCACTCTCACCACTGCATCCTGCCTTCACTACGCCCCTCCCCGCTAGTCTCCTCATCCCTGGTCCTGCCCCCACTCTGCCGTTCCCGAGCCCTCGCGGGCCCCGCACAGCTTCTCCGTGCGGAATCTTCCCAGAGCAGCCACGAGATGGCGAGGGCGAGACGCGCACCCAGGGCGGCGGGGACTGCAGGTGCGAGACGTGACCGTGAAGATAGCTGAAGCCCCCCGTCCCGGTCCGAGGGAAAAGTAGGCTGAAGCCCCCATTTGACTTCCTGTCATCTGGGCCCCTTCACAGGAAATTGTGGGCTGGAGGTGGCAGGGCAGAAGATGGAGAGAGGACTCTGGGGACTCAGTCTCCACCTCTCCGGGCCCGGGTAAATTGCGGGGGGGACACGCGGGATGGTTGCTAAGCGACGTAGATTCGCTTCCCGTTTGCTGCAGCTTATGGCTGTGACGCTGGGTGGAGGTTGAAGAGAGCGGTGGCCCTGGAGACTGTGGGGAAGGTCGAGGGCAGGACGCCTGGTTCCCGAGACGGGAAGAGCCCTGGGAGGAAGGCGGGGAGGCAGCGAGCTGCGCCGCGACCGGAGGGGATTCGGCGATTGTCCGGAAGGGGGCACCTGAGGCGCGGCGTTCACCTCAGCTCCCCTTCTCTCCCCGGGGTGGCTTGCCCAGTTGCCAGAGTAACTGGAGGGCGAGACTTGCGAGCCGGATTCCCAAACTCTCCCGTCCACCCAATCCGCTCCAGCGGTTGGCCCTGACGTCAGGGCCCTGACAGCCAATGGGGAAGGGTCATGATAGCGACGGGAAAGGGAGAGGGGAGGGGCAGCGGCGGAGGCTGGGAGGCGGCAGCTGCCCGGGACCCGCACGTGCACTCCCACACGCTCGCGCCCACCCCCCAGCCCTGGGCCGCACGCGCCCGAGCACCCCCTTGCGCCTGCGCGGCGAGCCGGGCGCCCCCTTCCCAGTGTGGAGTCCGTGTAAAGCCGCCCGAGGCTGCGCTCCTCAGCCCCTGGGGACTCCCACGTCTCGGTCGGTCTGCACCGTTTCGCGGGTCGTGACCATAATGCCCAGCCTCGCTCAGGAGGGCCGACTACCTGTTCCCCACCTACCCCCAGCTGGCGCCCCACACTCCCAGGTGGGCTGGGCGGAGCTGTGGTTTCCGGCCCCATCTGCTCGGCCGCTGCCTTCCCGGGCTCTGGCTTACGTTGCTTCCCCAAGAGAAAGCGAGCGGGTACCAGCGCCCCTTCCCGAGGCTTCTCCCTCCCGGGCCCAGCTGCTGTTGGTGGCGGGGGAGGGCACTGCGGGGAAGCCCCGGACGGCCCAGGTGACTCTTCTGGGCCATCACGCCCCTTCTTCGCGTGAATTCCTGCTCTTTGATGTGCACCAAAACCCTTCCCATTCCTAATGTTTCCTTCTCATTCGCTCCGGCGTTCTTTGCACCTCCCTCGGCTCCTTTCGGGCTGTCTCTCCCTGTCTCCACTCGTCCTTCTTCGCTTCTCCCGGTTATATAACTCTTCCTCTTGCCGTGTCCTGGTTTCAACTCCACAGACTCCGCCCTGGAACAGCGCGGGGAGGGGCGGGAGAGTTGGGGACCCAGACAGATTCCGGCTGGCGGCCGGCTGGGGCACGGGGGATCCTGCAGATGGAAGACGGAGCCCCAGCGGGACCCGGTGCCCCCGTCCCCGCCTGCCGGCCCCCACCGAGGTCTTGCCCGAGAGAGAGAAGGCACAGTATCTCCGAGGGGCGTGTCGGGCTGACTCCCGTCAGAAATGTGGGTTGGGAGGTCAGGGCTGCAGGTGGAGAAGAGGAGGCAGGCAAGAGGCATGAGTCCCTGAGATTGGAGTCGTATGGGGTAAAAGAGATAAGGACGCCTGGGTTCCTTCCTACGTCTCCTTTTTGGATTCCCAGAATTCCTAAGGGTGTTTCCAGGAAGCTTAGCACACCCCCTCCGCCCCATAGGGGTCAAAGGTCTGTGTTAGAGGTGGCCTGGGATGATGTCACCAGTGCACGTGCCCTGGGACGGTTGCCAGGCAATGAGGCTTCCTCCCCCTTCTATTCCCTCCCACCTCTGCCCCGAGTCCAGTTCCAGTCCCGTGCCATCTCTTTCCCCTCTCCCTTCCCTTGGTCTTAGCATCCTGCAGGTGGGAAACCCCGGCCTGGAGTTTTGTGAGGGGGAGGGGCACGGGTGTGGTGTGGCTGAAAGACTTTGCCCCTTTGCTTGGGCTGAGGGAGCCTTGGGTCACTTTTCCCTAGATTGGCACAGAAGAGCTTCTCCTCCAAGCCTCCGCCCCCATAGAAAGAGCTACCTAGCAGTCTTTTTACTTTCCCACCTGCTGCATGGCCAAGTGTCCTATTGCCCCCTTACCCAGATTAATTTGAAGTGGGAGTGGTTGCAAGACAGAAGAGCTGTGTGTAGTATGGGGGTTCACTACACACCAGCTTATCCCGAACGTCCCCTTAATGGCACACCCCTATCTACAAACAATGAAAGGAAAAGGGCCAAGAAACAGTATTAGGCTGGAAAGTCAGGGTCTTTATTGTGTGTATGCCGGTGAATCGGTCTGTAGCCTCTCACTAGGTGGAGGGGGACTCGGTTGCTTGCTCTGGCTGCTCTTCTCTACTAAGTTCTGGGGTTGGAGATGGTCTTGGAATAAATCAGCTTGTACTTTTATGGACCTTAGAGCTTGGGCTGTCAGATCAGACCTGTATTCTAATTCCAGCTCTGTCACTTAGTGGCTACTGGAACTTGGAAAGGTCACAACCTCTCTGAGCCTTGCATTTTTAATCTTGAACATTTAAATATCAATACCTACCTTGAAGGCCGCTGCCAGGAAAAAAATGAGATAATTTATGCAAATCACTTAGCACAGTGCCTGGCACAGAATGAACACAGAATGAGTGCTTGTTGTTATGAAATACTTTTATTGTTAAATGGTGTTATTAGTTTATTATTATTCCTGTGAGCCTGCTCCAAACCAGCAGTGACCCTAGGAGTTTGTTAGGGGGGAGTGAATAGTTTGTGTTAATTTGGAGATTTGGGTTAGGGGGCTGGGGATTAGCTTTAACTGCTTTGTGCGTTTTATTTGATGAAGGCTTTAGGCAGATTTGTATTGCTTTCTTTAGGATTATTTTTTCCCCTCTTGGAGAAGAAATAGCTAAGACTATTCCGTGGGCCTTGAAAATAAAATAATTGTATTGTGGTTCTTGATTTTGAAGCAAGACCCCAGTCCCCTCCCATGTTGTTCTCTGGAGCCTTTCATTTTGCAAAGGGACTCCACAGTTTCTCTAGTGGGGACAAGGCTAGGCTTAGGGGTGTGTAAAAGGTTGGGGTGGGTGGGTGGAGAGAGACTAGTGCTGGGGGCTGGAGGGGGGCGGGTAGTTAAAGGAAGAGACCGGAAGGGAGGAGGAGGGAGCCTGCTGGTGGGGAGGGAGGGAGGGGAGGAGGAGGTGGAGGAGGAGGAGGAGGAGGAGGGAGGGGGTTGGGGAGAGCCTGCTACAGTTCTTTGTTTGACTCCGGGACTCAGGGACGGGGAGGAGGAGGGAGGGAGGCAGAGGCTGCAAGCGCCGGGGCAGGCCCAGGAGGCAGAGGAGGGACCGTCTCCCCCGCCCCCCCAGCCCCCACTCCCCCCCCTGCTGCTTCCCCCCCTCCCTACCCGGACTCCGGGGGCACCGCCGGGGGACAGACACCCAGCAGGTAACCCTGGCCTGGCTCGCCCTCCCCTCTCTGATTTTCCTCCACACCCTCCCGGATGACCCCTTTTCCCCTTCCGTCTCCCCATTTTCCCCCTGGCCTTGCCTCTTTTCCCTGGCCTTCCGTTTTCCATCGCCCCCACTTGGGCTTGTCGCCCGCTGGCCGCGCCGGCGTCTCGTGCAGCCTGATTCCCTTCTCCTCACCCAACAGCCTGTGTGCCCTAGGTCTGCCCAAGGCACCTTTTGGGGGCTCTGTCTGGCTGCTTCTTTGGGCTCTTGCTTTCCTTCCGATCTGTCCCCTGGGGGCGGAGGGAGTCCCTGCCTTTTCTTGCTCCCCCCCAGTTCCCCGCCCCCCCAGCTCTGGCCCCTTTTCTCCTTCTAGCAGTCTCTAGGGGTGGGGAGATAACCGGAATTTAGGGGGCCCCCTGGAGGGGCAAGGGGCTATGTGTGTAGGGTGGGGGTGGGGGGGCAGTTAGAGACCTGGCTCCCTCTCTGTTGTCCCTTTAAATGGCCCTCACATTTCTGGGGACTTGGGGGGGGGAGGTGGCAAGCAGCCTGCCTGGGGGGCAGGGCCCTTGGTTCGTCCACACAATCAGGGGTGGTAATGATTTAAAGGGACAGCCTCGGTGTGGCCGCTGCCACCCTGTGCTGGCGGGAGGGGGAGCCGGCAAGCCATGTCTGGGGAGGCTTGGCTGGTAAGCAGGGCATTTAAGGCTGAGTCTGTTGCGGGGCCTGCCAGGTCTGGGACAGTGCTGCGGCTGGGAAGGTGCAAGGAGGGGTGACAGCCTGCCTGGGGGGTACACAGCCTGGGCTTTCTCCAGGGCCCCACCTTTGGGTACATGACTCCTTGGCCAAGAATCCTTGAGTCCAAACTATGGAGCCTGTCGGCCACCAGGTGGGGGACCACCAGCTGGTCTGCAGGTCAGTGGCCTGGCCTGGGCACTTTGGAGCTGGCACTTAAGCTTCCCCTTTTGTTGTTTGGCTCTGTGCACAAGAAAGCCCCAGCCCCTCCCCCAACCCAGCTCCCCCTTCCCATCCACATGCCCCCCTCACACATACACACACACACACACACACACACACACAAACACACACACCCCAGCTGTTGGACAGATGAATTACAGCCTCCGGCTTGGGGCCAAGGCTGGTGAGTGATTAAAGCTCTGGGGCTGGCCCTTTAAATGGCTGTTAGCCCCTCCCCCACTCTGTTGTCCAGACACCCCTCACACACGCCTCTGACCCCCTTGGCCTGTCCTAACGTCGGCCCACTAGACTAGCCCTTCCCAAGTCCCTTCCCCTAGCACAACCACAAAACACAGATGCTAGACTATAGATACTCCCTGCTCCCAGGTTGTGAGCCTCCCTGTCCTGGAGAGTTCCAACCTCAAGCTCCCTTCCCCAGAGGAAGGGCCTGGCCTGCCTGACCTCACCCACCTACAGCTGACCACTACCCTGGCCCAGGGAGGGGACCTTGGTGGGTCAGAAATAGCACCTCCCTGGGGGCAGTGTCATCAGCAGCCACAGAAGCTTGCAGAACATTGCATCATGGAGACTGGGGGCTAGAGGCCTGAGTCTCTGGGGCAGGGGGAAGGACGGGGGCTGGAGGGCCAAGGAATATAGAGATTAGATTAGGAGCCCAAGTGTTAGGGTCCATAAGGGCAGAGAACTATGACTAAGGGAGCAGAAAACAGGTTCCTGAGGAGCGAGTCTGAGGTGAGGGGCCACTTAACTCTGACCCCTGGATGGACACCTGATTCTTGGCCTTGGACTTACACTAAAAGACCTAGCTTCTTGTCTCTGAGGGTTGGGAAGGGAGTGGGCCTCTATCACCTTCTTAGGCCACATAAGAGGAAGGAGGTGATGGGGAAACAGGATATTGCCTTGGCGGTGGCAGGGAGGGGAGGTTTGCAGCAGAGGCTACTTCCAGGCTCAGGCCCAGAGTCATAGTTCTTGCAGGGGAGGATGGCCCCTCCCTGTTGGTCCCGTTCATCTAGTCTGGCTACCTGTGCTGCTAGCCAAGACCTGCCTGCACCCGCCTAGGGGAACAGGAGGGGGCAGAGTCCAGAGGGTGGGGTTGACTGTCTTCTGTCTTGATAACGTTGGAGAGGATACAGAGCTGAAGGAAGCAGGTCTGCATGTCCTGGTGCTAGAACTCAGGCTGGCTTGGGTATAGATGATAGGGCAGCTGGGGTAACTCTGGGGCCAGGGAGTCTCAGCAGGAGGGTCCTGTCAGAAGAGGGATGAGGGGTTGGGTATCTGCTGTAGACTTACTCACAGGCCATACCAGCCTGCTTCCCGAAGGGGAAGGTTGGATGACCAGTTTGGGGATGGCTTTTTCTGGTTGCCACGGAAACAGATTCTCCTATCCTATCTGACCACCAGAGCCAGGTTTCTCCTTACTGAGGGGGCAGGAAGCCCAGGGAAATTCTCCAGCCTGGGAGACCCCACCTCTAACTGACTTTTTTCTTTTAGGTTCCCCCCAGGGCAACATGCCAGCCCCGTAGCACTACCCACCCCACCCACCGTGGTCTGTTGTACCCCACTGCTGGGGTGCTGGTTCCAATGAGACAGGGCACACCAAACTCCATCTGGTAAGTCCTGTCTGAGTGACCCTCTCTCCCCAGCAGTCTAACTGCATCACATGGTTGGAGTTGCTTGGTATGATCTGGATCATGCCCACTCTTCAGAATGGTCTAGTCCAATTCTGAGCACCTCACCATGTGGTGCTTGAGTGGTTCAGCCCTCCTGGTTTATGGACCTCCCTTCTATCTCCTATAAATGGTTCAGCCCTATACTTCACCAGCCTCTCCACTACTACCAAAAAATCTTCTCCCCACTATCTCCCCAGTGCTACAACTCAGTTGCTTATTGAATGAAGATGGAGTTTGCAAGCTGAAAGTGGGATATGAGTTACCCTGGAGGAATTTTTTCTTGGGAGGAGAAGGGCTTTGCCTCTATAAGAGTTGTTGAACACCCTGGCTTTTGGAGGGTGTTCAGAAATTGATTTGGGGAGATACTGGAGATCACCACCAGCCACAGCAATCTTGGCATTTCACCTTTCCTTCCAGATCTCTTTAGGTCCCATTCTCTTCCCACTGCACTATAGCATTTGCCCCCATACCTATGTCTTAACCTCTTCTGCTTACGTCTCTCCTCTCAGTTCTCTGCCTGAAGCCCTGCTTTATTTCCCATTCCTTTGTTGGAGAAAATGGAAGATAATCCCTAAGTCAGGGGCTTAAGTTTTCTGTGTGTTGTTCTTCCCCATTACATATTGGGCTTCTTGAGTGGAACTGTTTTCTTCTATGTATCTCGCTATTTTGCATGATGTTTTGCACATTGGGTGCGTGGTGGATTTGTGTTGAATAATGTTAACTGAATGAGCTTCATTACCAAGAACCTATGATTTCTGAGATCTGCTGCACAGCCTCCTACCTTCTTCTCTAGAGAACATGAGGAGGGTAACATGGGTAGAGCTGAGAGGAAGGCTGACCAGGAGATGGTCTGTGAGGATAAAACTAAAAGAGGGAGAGTAGGACAGAGCCAATATAGAAGAGTGGTAAGAATGTGGCTCAGGAAAGAAGCCTAGCTTTCATTCTTCACTTGCAGAATGATTTGGCCAAGTCACCTAGCCTCTCTGGGTCTCAATTTCCTTATCTGTAAAATTGGGTAATCAAAGTACCTTCTATGTCAGGTTTTGGGGAAGGGTGAAAAGAAAAATGCTTGTAAAATGCTTAATGCAGTGCCTGGAATGTAATAAATATTCACGAAATGCTAGCAATTATCATCACAGTAGCAGCCACAGGGAACTGTGAGAATAAACAGGGCTGTCAAGGGATGGGACAGAACTTGATTGAAGGTGGACGGACCTCCAAATACTTGATTCGAAACAGAATGATCACTGATCCAGCAAGATGTGAGGAGCGTAGCCAGGAGTCAGGAGGGTGGGCCTGCTCCAGTGTCGCCCCGACTCTGTTCAGTAACATGAAGGCAAACACAGAAGGGCATGTGCAGAGGCACACGTGATCACGCTAGTGATGCAGAGGCAGACCCAGACAAAAGACCGAGACAGGAGCTAGGCAGACACACAGACAGAGACAGCCCCGCGGAGTCATGTAGACAGGGATAATGACAGGAACGCGTCAGACACAGGCACAGAGGGAGACAAGATGAACAGATATGCAGGTGCACACGGAGACAGACACCGGGACCCACGCACAGCCGACCGTGTCAGACAGACTGGTGAACACAGCGCCCAGTCAGAGGCAGACACAAGGCCTGCAGTGACACACAGCGGGCCGGGGCCGGCACCGTCACTCCTTGGTGGGGGGCGGGGAGGGGCCGGCAGCCGGGGAAAAGCTGGGGAAGGGAATCCCGGGCGGGCGGCCTGCCCGGGTGGCTGAGTCACAGCGGAGCCTCAGCCGGCGGCCCTCCCCTCCGCCTCCCCCTCCCCCAGGTAAGAAGCGAGCTTGTAACCCCTCGCTTCCACCGGGAGTGATGAGGACAGGCAGGGAGCGGGTTGCGACGAGGGTCCCGGACCGCCCCACACCGGCGCGCACGCTGCGTGCCCGCTGACTGCCTGCTCGGTAAAACCCTATCTGCGGGCTCTTATCTCTGGCCGTCACGTGAGTTTGCGTGCGCACTTCAGGCCTCTTACCACGCGTCCCGCGCGGCTCCGGCGCTGCGCAGAGGGGTTCGTCGGCTCAAGCCCAGAGAGAGTTAAATGGGTGTGATTGATGGAGTGGTTCTCTCTTGGGGCTCCCGCGGGCGGTGGGGGGTCGGTTAAAGTCCCGAGTCCAGGGCCCGGATGGAGGGGGCGGAGCTGTGCTTTGCCGGGAGTGCCCGGATGGGGAGGGCGTGGCCTCGGCGGGAGCGGAATTAACCCTTTCAGAGCGGCTGGCTCCCGAGGTTGTGGGTAGGGTCGGGAGAAGCTGGAATGTCTGCCCCAGAAGTATAATAGACTTCGCAGCCTGGCTCTGACCGCGTGCGATTAGCTCTCGCCTGTCTTGGAGGAGTCTGTGGGTTTCAGTCTTTGTGGCTGTTGGTGGTCCCCTCCCCTTGGTTAGTATACTAGGACACCGGGAGTCAGGAGGGCTATTCTTGCCCCACAGCGAGAGTGGAGGTGAGAGTGGAGCGCGAGCCAGTGGCGGCTGGGGAACAGGTGCGAACGCCGCGTTGGGGCTGCCCGGCGCAGGGCGGGGGCATCGTGGGGGAAGACGAGAGGGGAAATTCCGCGGGACCGGTGGTGAGCCGGTGTGTAGGCTGAGGAGTTGTGTCTGCCTCTGACTGTGTGTCTGTGTGTGTTCAGGGAGGCGGGGGCTGAGTCAGTGGGAAGAGGGGAAGGTTTTCTGGGTGACTCACGCTCCCTCACCCCAAGCCTGAATCAGACCCCGAGGGAGGGCTTTGAACGGGGGGCGAGAGTCAAGCGCCTGTGTCCCGGGTTCGGACAAGGATCCGAGGGGGCTGGTGAGAATGAGTGTGTGTTTAGTGTACAGGAAGTTTTGTCTCCAAGTGAGGGCTTTGTATTCTTGGGTGCTGGCTTTGTGGATAAAGGTGGAAGAACAGGGGGCTGGAGGGACCGCACTCACTCGCTTAGGGAAAGCTGAGTCAGTTCCCCGTGGGAAAGGGGAAGTGCAGAGGGGAAGTGTCATCATCGCAGAAGGGGAAGCTGCGTTTCCTGGTAACTGGCAGCGCTCTCGGGACCACTTCCCAAGCAGGGATCTGCCCCTCTGTTGTCTGGTTCCCCCGGCTCCCCGTCCACGTCTGGTCCCTGGGTCTCCTCCCCGCCTCTGCCTTGGTACTCGGGTGGGGGAAGTCAGCCAGGGCTCTACTTGACCCCAGTTCAGCGCTGTACCGGACTTGGTTACTGACAGAAAGGCTGCTGCCTTTGGTAAGGAGAGGGTTCTGACAGTAACTCCACGTGAATCGCGGAGAGGGTCCGCGGGGCCCAAGCGCCCACCAGGGTTCGGCGGAGAGTCGCACGCAGGGCCCTATAGGGTCCAAGCGCTTCCATGCAAACAAACGACCTTGCTCCTGGGGGAAGGAAGGCTCTTTTCGCCAGAAACCCGTCTGCCCCTGTGGGCTGGGTGGAAATTTCCCCACAGCGCAGACTTCTCTCAGCAAAGGCGAACTTTCCAGCCGCCCCCAGCCCCTCGTCGCGCACTCTCCCCCGGCTTCCTGCCCGGCGCTCGCTCCAGCTGGAGCGCTGGCCCCGCCCCCGCCGCTTTGTACTCGACACTCGCCTCTCGCTGCTCTTTGTACTCTAGACTCTCAATGGACCGATCCCGGGAGCGAAGCCGGCTCCCTACCTGCGGGGACGCCGGGTAGGCGCGGAGACTCAGCTCCAGAGGGGCGAGAAGGAAGAACTGGGGCTAATGGGAAGGTGTCCAGGAGAGGGGAGCGTAGTGCCAGTCGGGGGTCCAGCCGGCGCCGTTGCAAAGGGGTGGGGGGGGGCGTGAAGGAGGAAGTGAAACGGGTTCTGGGTTCTTTAAGGGAGTGGGCGGTGAGAGTGGGACAAGGGTGATGTCACTGCCTGTCGGGCCCCGCCCTCCTCCCTCCCTCAGGACCCCCCCCCGCCCCGTACATTTACACACACCGCTTCCGCTGCGCAAGTAGCCACGTCACGGGCAACCCCCGAAATCCCCCCCTCCCTTGGGGGGCGGGGGCCACGTGGGCCGTGGGGAACCGCGTGGCCCCGGCGGGGAAGGGCAGAGAGGATACGCGAGCCACGAGAGAGGGGCCACTTGGGACCGCGGTGCCTGACTTCTCGGAAGTTGGGGGACTACAGGGAGTTTGATTTTGGGGGTCGGTCGGCATTGAAGACCCAGAAAGCCAGGGGAAGTAGAGGAGCTGGAGGAACTGGGTATGAGACTGGGGGCTTGACCAAGGTTTGGGTCGGGGTCAGGCATTGGGGGTGGAGCGCCCTGCTAGCGCCGCGGACGGGTCTGGGTGCTGTGGAAGTCGCCGTGGCTGGCCAGCCCTAAGCAGTTCTTAGGGGCGCTGGGGTGAGGAGGTCAGTCACTGGGCAAGGTGAAGTGAGGAAGGGGAGGGATGTCTGTTTTGCATTCCGCATCCATCTGCTGTCCGTCGGTCTTGTGATGGCCGGCGCGGGGCGACTCGAGCGGCCTGGCCGTGACCACCGGGCTCTGGGTGCGTGAGGCTTGCGGGTAGCGCCAGCCCACACGCGGGCCAAGCGTGCGACTCACCGCCCTCATCCGCACGCGTCTTGTCCTGGCGTCCTGGCTGCCTTCTGGCCCTGCCGGCCAGAGTGTCAGATCCTAGATGGTGACCCTAGGTAGGAGCCGTGGGGTCACATCGGGGTCACCCGGGGCTAAGCCCGTCTGACCGGCTCCGGCGCCCTTCCTCCCCCAGCCTCGGCTGCTGGGCTCACCTCGCTCCCATTGGTTCCGGCCAGGCTGTTACTGAGGCGGAGACACGGGTGATGATTGGCTTTCTGGGGAGAGAGGAAGTCCTGTGATTGGCCAGATCTCTGGAGCTCGCCGACGCGGTGAGAGGACGCTCCCACGGAGGCCGGGTAAGCGGCCGCTGCGTTGCGGGGTGGCCTGGTGACTCCGGACTGGAAGCCTGGTAGCGCAGCCACCCCGTCCCTCCCACCGGCCTTTTGGTTCCCTGCTACACACATCCCAGCTCCCAGCCACACTCCTGGGCCTGTAGGGGCTGGCTGGATCGGGTGGGCCTCCCCTTGGGGAAAGCCAAGGCCGGGCCTTTTGCACAAATGACAGATTGGTGAATGCCACAGTCCGCTCAGCCCAGCCACTGGGCCTTGACTATGTGCTGGCCAGCTTGTCTCACTCCTTTTCCTCCTTCTGTCTGTAGAATTGGCTGTGAAAGGACCCAGGCAGCCATCTGGGGGTAGCGGGCACTCTTTATCAGAGCGGCTGGAGCCGGACCATCGTCCCAGAGAGCTGGGGCAGGGGGCCGTGCCCGATCTCCAGGGCTCCTGGGGCCACTGCTGACCTGGTAAGGGAAGATCTGGGGTCAAGCTGGCTGGGTGTACACTGGCAGCTCTGGTTTTGCCCTCAGTGAGAGCATAATTTTTTTTATGCCCAACTCAGGCTGGATGCATCGGGCAGTGGACCCTCCAGGGGCCCGCGCTGCACGGGAAGCCTTTGCCCTTGGGGGCCTGAGCTGTGCTGGGGCCTGGAGCTCCTGCCCGCCCCATCCCCCTCCTCGTAGCGCATGGCTGCCTGGAGGCAGGTGAGAACTTGGGGCCCTCTGTCTCCAGGCATATCTCTTTCCATTTCTGTACCCTTCAATCTGTGTCATTCTCCATGGGTTCCTGTCATTTTGTGGGCTTCTGTGCAGTCCTCAGATGCTTTTTCTTATTCTCTCAGCCCCCTTCTGCCTAGGTAGGACAAGACTGCTCCTTCTTGCTGTATATAATAGACTCCTTCTCTTTCCAGATGCTCAGCCAGCATTGGGCAGCCCCCGCTTCCTGCACCCCTACCCCCTTCACATGGCAGTAGTTCTGGGCACCCCAACAAACCATATTATGCCCCAGGGTGAGTGGACATTTGAAGGTTCTTGGGGTGGGAGGTAAGACCAGGGGCTTGAAAGAGTCCTCTCAAGCCCGACCCCCACCCCCACCCCCACCCCTTCTGCTCTGTAGGGTGCCCACTCCAAGACCCCTCCATGGGAAGCTGGAATCCCTGCATGGCTGTGTGCAGGCACTGCTCCGGGAGCCAGCCCAGCCAGGGCTGTGGGAACAGCTTGGGCAACTATACGAGTCAGAGCATGACAGTGAAGAGGCCGCACGTTGCTACCACAGTGCCCTTCGATACGGAGGAAGCTTCGCCGAGCTGGGGCCCCGCATTGGCCGACTGCAGCAGGTAGGATGAGGTAGGGCATGGGGGACAGGACTGTACAACTGTGCCTCTGGCTCAGTGCCCCACCTGATGTCTGCCCCTGTCCCGTGTCCCCCCACCCCCAGGCCCAGCTCTGGAACTTTCATACTGGCTCCTGCCAGCACCGAGCCAAGGTCCTACCCCCCCTGGAGCAAGTGTGGAATTTGCTGCACCTTGAGGTGAGGCTGGCGCTGAATGAGTTAGGGAGGAGGGCCAGGCTGTCCCTGCACCCGTGCCATTTTCTCTTCCCTCTTTTTGTTCTCAGCACAAGCGGAACTATGGAGCCAAGCGGGGAGGTCCCCCGGTGAAGCGAGCTGCCGAACCCCCGGTGGTGCAGCCTGTGCCTCCTGCAGCACTCTCAGGCCCCTCAGGGGAGGAGGGCCTCAGCCCTGGAGGCAAGCGAAGGAGAGGCTGCAACTCTGAACAGGTGTGGGTATATCGGGCCAGCAGGCAGTGAGGAGGGAGGACTTAGGCTGCCTAAGGAATGGGGTTCTCACACCTTTTTCTCTCCTAGACTGGCCTTCCCCCAGGGCTGCCACTGCCTCCACCACCATTACCACCACCACCGCCACCACCACCCCTGCCTGGCCTGGCCACCAGCCCCCCATTTCAGCTAACCAAGCCAGGGCTATGGAGTACCCTGCATGGAGATGCCTGGGGCCCAGAGCGCAAGGGTTCAGCTCCCCCAGAGCGCCAGGTGAGCCCCTGCCTGTTGCCTTTCACCTCTCAACTGCAAATCCCATGCTCTCTGTTCCTCATCCTGCATCCCTGTTTATCTCCTAGGAGCAGCGGCACTCGCTGCCTCACCCATATCCATACCCAGCTCCAGCATACACTGCACACCCCCCTGGCCACCGGCTGGTCCCGGCTGCACCCCCAGGCCCGGGCCCCCGCCCCCCAGGAGCAGAGAGCCATGGCTGCCTGCCTGCCACCCGTCCCCCCGGAAGTGACCTTAGAGAGAGCAGAGTTCAGAGGTCGCGGATGGACTCCAGCGTTTCACCAGCAGCAACCACCGCCTGCGTGCCTTACGCCCCTTCCCGGCCCCCTGGCCTCCCCGGCACCACCACCACCAGCAGCAGTAGCAGCAGCAGCAACACCGGTCTCCGGGGCATGGAGCCGAACCCAGGCATTGTGAGTGACAACTTTGACAACTTCGGGTGGAGGGGTGATGGGTGGAGCTCGTCTTGAGGTGGCCCGAGCTGTGCTCCAACCACCCCCTTCTACACTTGCAGCCCGGCGCTGACCATTACCAAACGCCCACGCTGGAAGTCACTCACCAGAGCCGCCTGGGGCCCTCGGCACACAGCAGTCGGAAACCGTTCTTGGGGGCTCCAGCTGCCACTCCCCACCTATCCCTGCCACCTGGACCTTCCTCACCCCCTCCACCACCCTGTCCCCGCCTCTTACGCCCCCCACCACCCCCTGCCTGGTTAAAGGGTGCGGCCTGCCGGGCAGCTCGAGAGGACAGAGAGATCTTAGAGGAGCTCTTCTTTGGGACTGAGGGACCCCCCCGACCTGCCCCACCACCTCTCCCCCACCGCGAGGGCTTCTTGGGGCCTCTGGCCTCCCGCTTTTCTGTGGGCACTCAGGATTCTCACACCCCTTCCACTCCCCCAACCCCAACCACCAGCAGTAGCAGCAGCAACAACGGCAGCCACAGCAGCAGCCCTGCTGGGCCTGTGTCCTTTCCCCCACCACCCTATCTGGCCAGAAGTATGGACCCCCTTCCCCGGCCTCCCAGCCCAGCACAGAGCCCCCAGGACCCACCTCTTGCACCCCTGACTCTTGCCCTGCCTCCAGCCCCTCCTTCCTCCTGCCACCAAAATACCTCAGGAAGCTTCAGGCGCCCGGAGAGCCCCCGGCCCAGGGTCTCCTTCCCAAAGACCCCCGAGGTGGGGCCGGGGCCACCCCCAGGTCCCCTGAGTAAAGCCCCCCAGCCTGTGCCGCCTGGGGTTGGGGAACTGCCTGCCCGAGGCCCGCGACTCTTTGATTTTCCCCCCACCCCGCTGGAGGACCAGTTTGAGGAGCCAGCCGAATTCAAGATCTTACCTGATGGGCTGGCCAACATCATGAAGATGCTGGATGAATCTATTCGCAAGGAGGAGGAACAGCAACAACAGGAAGCAGGCGTGGCCCCCCCGCCCCCTCTGAAGGAGCCCTTTGCCTCTCTGCAGCCTCCATTTCCCACCGACACAGCCCCCACCACCACTGCTCCTGCCGCCCCTGCTGCTGCCACCACCACCACCACCACCACCACGGCCACCCAGGAAGAGGAGAAGAAGCCACCACCAGCCCTACCGCCACCACCGCCTCTAGCCAAGTTCCCCCCACCCCCCCAGCCACAGCCACCCCCACCCCCACCCCCACCCGCCAGCCCGGCCAGCCTGCTCAAATCCTTGGCCTCTGTGCTGGAGGGACAAAAGTACTGTTATCGGGGGACTGGAGCAGCTGTTTCCACCCGGCCTGGGCCCCTGCCCACCACTCAGTATTCCCCTGGCCCCCCATCAGGTGCTACCGCCCCACCACCCACCTCAGCGGCCCCTAGCGCCCAGGGCTCCCCACAGCCCTCTGCTTCCTCGTCATCTCAGTTCTCTACCTCAGGCGGGCCCTGGGCCCGGGAGCGCAGGGTGGGCGAAGAGCCAGCCCCGGGCCCCACGACCCCCACCCAGCCACCCCCACCCCTGCCTCTGCCCCCTGCTCGCTCTGAGTCTGAGGTGCTAGAAGAGATCAGTCGGGCTTGTGAGACCCTTGTGGAGCGGGTGGGCCGGAGTGCCACTGACCCAGCAGACCCAGTGGACACAGCAGACCCAACGGACAGTGGGACTGAGCGACTACTGCCTCCCACCCAGGCCAAGGAGGAGGGTGGCGGGGTGACAGCAGCAGTGGTGTCAGGCAGCTGTAAGCGGCGACAGAAGGAGCACCAGAAGGAGCATAGGCGGCACAGGCGGGCCTGTAAGGACAGTGTGGGTCGGCGGCCCCGTGAGGGCAGGGCAAAGGCCAAGGCCAAAGCCCCCAAAGAAAAGAGCCGCCGGGTGCTGGGGAACCTGGACCTGCAGAGTGAGGAGATCCAGGGTCGTGAGAAGTCCCGGCCCGATCTTGGCGGGGCCTCCAAGGCCAAGCCACCCACAGCTCCAGCCCCTCCACCAGCTCCTGCACCTCCTGCCCAGCCCACACCCCCATCAGCCCCTGTCCCTGGAAAGAAGGCTCGGGAGGAAGCGCCAGGGCCACCAGGTGTCAGCCGGGCTGACATGCTGAAGCTGCGCTCACTTAGTGAGGGGCCCCCCAAGGAGTTGAAGATCCGGCTCATCAAGGTAGAGAGTGGTGACAAAGAGACCTTTATCGCCTCTGAGGTGGAAGAGCGGCGGCTGCGTATGGCAGACCTTACCATCAGCCACTGTGCTGCTGATGTTGTGCGTGCCAGCAAGTGAGTTGGCTGCCTGCTTGGCCTGGGGATAGGCTCCTTTCCCCCCATCACCCTGATGTTCCTGTCTTCATCCCACTGTCCTCCCACAGGAATGCCAAGGTGAAAGGGAAGTTTCGAGAGTCCTACCTTTCCCCTGCCCAGTCTGTGAAACCGAAGATCAACACTGAGGAGAAGCTGCCCCGGGAAAAACTCAACCCCCCTACACCTAGTATCTATGTATGTGTGCCACTTGTACTCAGAACCACCCCTACCAGTGGGTTCTAAGACAGTGCTGGGGACAGCTGGGGTGCTCTGAGCCTGGGCCAGGGCTCTGACCCCAGCTCTTCTGGTCATGTCTCAGCTGGAGAGCAAACGGGATGCTTTCTCACCCGTCCTGCTGCAGTTCTGTACAGACCCTCGAAATCCCATCACGGTGATCCGGGGCCTGGCGGGCTCCCTGCGGCTCAGTGAGTATGGGAGGCAGAGTGTCAGGGAGGGCTACAAGGGTCTGGGGAATGTGGGATCCTCTGAGAAGTCCCACACCAGAAGACCCACAGTGGCTATCAGGAGTCCTCTGAGTGATGAGTCGGCTGGCCTTGGGCTCTTCTCCTATCTGTCTGTCTATCCCCAGCATTTGGCAAGGGAGAAGGGGCCACAGTCAGGGCCCTAGTCATTTCTGAATTTTTTGGTGATTAAGGATGAGAAGAATACAGATTTTAGAATACCCCTTAAGACATGATTTTGGGGCTCTCTCTCTTTCAGTCTTTTATTGCGCAAAATTCCAAACACAGAAAATTAGAGGAAACTGTATAGAAATATAAAGGTCAATCTTGTCTCCTTTATACCTGTATACCTCCCTTCTCCACACTGAGTTATTTAAAGCGCATTTCAGGTTTTCACTTGACTGAATCTTTAATTGGGTCCAGTGGTATCTCAAAGCAGCTGCTGTTTTGACTAGAAAGATTCCAAATGGGGAAAAAGAGAACCCAACATTCATTGAGCACCTACTATGTGCCAGGTGCGGTGCATATGGCCACGTGTACACCTGAGGACACTGGTCGAGGGGCTGAGTCCTTGAGCAGCTGCAGGAGAAAGAGGGCTGGTGAGGATGCAGATAGAAGCTAGCACGCCCAGTTTCCTGTGGGGCCAGGGTTTCTGCCTATTCCTCCTGGGCTGAGCTTTGCTAAGCCTAGGACCACCCTGTCAGAGGCCAGAGGAGGAAGAAAGGGAAAGGGTCTGTCAGGTCCTTGGTCCCTATCTTCTGCCTCTGCCCCGACGCCCTACTTGGCCCTCCCTTGCAGACTTGGGCCTGTTCTCCACCAAGACACTGGTGGAGGCGAGTGGCGAGCACACCGTGGAGGTCCGCACGCAGGTGCAGCAGCCCTCAGATGAGAACTGGGACCTAACAGGCACTCGACAGATCTGGCCCTGCGAGAGCTCCCGTTCCCACACCACCATTGCCAAGTACGCACAGTATCAGGCTTCATCCTTCCAGGAGTCTCTGCAGGTGAGAGGAGAACGTGGCACGAGGCAGGTCCTGGGACTGGGGGTGCGGTGGGAGGGCTCTTGGAAGGTCTCTGACCCAGGCCTGCCGACCCTCTGGCTGAGCAGGAGGAGAAGGAGAGTGAGGATGAGGAGTCAGAGGAGCCGGACAGCACCACAGGAACCCCTCCTAGGTACGGTACCGGTGTGTCCCTTCCCTTCCTGCCTCCTTCCCCTCCCTCTGCTCTCCTAAAACCTGTGCTCTTCGCCCCAGCGGCAGCGCACCAGACCCGAAGAACCATCACATCATCAAGTTTGGCACCAACATCGACCTGTCTGATGCCAAGCGGTCAGTGGGGCTGAGGCTAGCAAAGCTGGGGCAGGAATGCTGCTGGGACCTCGCGGCAGGGGCGGGGTGGAGCCTCTCACTCTCGTCGCACTTTCGCACCGCAGGTGGAAGCCCCAGCTGCAGGAGTTGCTGAAGCTGCCCGCCTTCATGCGGGTAACATCCACGGGCAACATGCTGAGCCACGTGGGCCACACCATCCTGGGCATGAACACGGTGCAGCTGTATATGAAGGTGCCCGGCAGCCGAACGCCAGGTGCGCTCCACGCCTGGGCGCGCCGTTTCGGGAAGCGCAAGAGGAGGGGTTGGCGGCGGCGCTCAGCCGTCAGCCAATGAGGGCAGAGGGCGGGGCTGGCGGGGATTGCAGCTCTGACCGGGCCAGCCATGCCGTTCTCTGTCGACCCCTGCAGGCCACCAAGAGAATAACAACTTCTGCTCCGTCAACATCAACATTGGCCCAGGTGACTGCGAGTGGTTCGCGGTGCACGAGCACTACTGGGAGACCATCAGCGCCTTCTGTGACCGGTGCGTGCTGTCCCACGCGAGTCAGTCTGCCGCGTCCCCGCCCTTGGTCCCCAGTTCCCACCTGACCTTGTGGCCACCTCGCAGGCACGGCGTGGACTACTTGACGGGTTCCTGGTGGCCAATCCTGGATGATCTCTATGCATCCAATATCCCTGTGTACCGCTTTGTGCAGCGCCCTGGAGACCTCGTGTGGATTAATGCGGGGACTGTGCACTGGGTGCAGGCCACCGGCTGGTGCAACAACATTGCCTGGAACGTGGGGCCCCTCACCGGTGAGAGGGTGGGGCAGGTGTTGGCGGGGTGTGGGGCCTCAGCGGCAAGGGGCTGTGAGGAGGGGCTTGGAGATTCGCCAGCAGGGAGGGAAAGGGCTTGGGCCTAGGTATCTGGGGGCTGTGTGAGAGTCCTATTGTGATCGCCTCTGGCCCGCAGCCTATCAGTACCAGCTGGCCCTGGAACGATATGAGTGGAACGAGGTGAAGAACGTCAAATCCATCGTGCCCATGATCCACGTGTCATGGAACGTGGCTCGCACGGTCAAAATCAGCGACCCTGACTTGTTCAAGATGATCAAGTGAGGACCCTGAGTGGGAGCCCATCTCCACCTACCCGATCCCTGTTCTAGTTCTTCCTGTCTGACTGCGCCCCATTCTTCACCTCTCTCCATCCGTGTCTGCCTGTGCCTCAAGCGTTACTATGCTGGGAAAGCTACCTAGGTCCCTGGTCTTGACCTTTCCTAGTGGTCCAAATAGACAAAAGCCACAGGAAATCTCACCTATGACAGATGCCCAGGACAGAGGATGGGACCTGGACATGAAGCGGGGAGGGCCCTGGAGCCGCCCCTCTGCCCCTGCTCCAGCCCTGCCCCAGCCCTCCCTGCCGGTGGCCTCAATACAACCCCATTGTTCCCCAGATTCTGCCTGCTCCAGTCCATGAAGCACTGTCAGGTCCAACGTGAGAGCCTGGTGCGGGCAGGGAAGAAAATCGCTTACCAGGGCCGGGTCAAGGACGAACCAGCCTACTACTGCAACGAGTGCGATGTGAGTGGGCCGGCTCTCCTGCGCCCCCTGAGTGTGTCCACAGTGGCGCTCCCTCCTCCTGACTGCCCCCTCCTCCCTGCCCCAGGTGGAGGTGTTTAACATCCTGTTCGTGACAAGTGAGAACGGCAGCCGCAACACGTACCTGGTACACTGCGAGGGCTGTGCCCGGCGCCGCAGCGCGGGCCTCCAGGGCGTGGTGGTGCTGGAGCAGTACCGCACGGAGGAGCTGGCGCAGGCCTATGACGCTTTCACGCTGGTGAGGGCCCCGCGGGTGCGCGGTCAGCGGAGGAGGGCACTGGGGCAGGCTGCAGGGATGGGCTTCAGGGGCTTGGCCGTGCCTGCCCCTGAGCCACTGCCGGCTTTGTCCCCACAGGCCCCCGCCAGCACGTCGCGATGAGGCCAGACGCCCCGCCCGCCCGCCTGCCGGCCCTCGCAGGGCGCCGCGGGGCCACCAGCACACGCCTAGGCTGGACCTGGGTCCCGCCTCTGGCCGGGAAGGGGGTCGGGCCCAGCCCTTCCACCCCATTGGCAGCTCCCCTCACTTAATTTATTAAGAAAAACATTTTTTTTTTTTTTTTAGCAAATATGAGGAAAAAAGGAAAAAAAATGGGAGACGGGGGAGGGGGCTCGCAGCCCCTCGCCCACCAGCCCCTCCCCTCACCGACTTTGGCCTTTTTAGCAACAGACACAAGGACCAGGCTCCGGCGGCGGCGGGGGTCACATACGGGTTCCCTCACCCTGCCAGCCGCCCGCCCGCCCGGCGCAGATGCACGCGGCTCGTGTATGTACATAGACGTTACGGCAGCCGAGGTTTTTAATGAGATTCTTTCTATGGGCTTTACCCCTCCCCCAGAACCTCCTTTTTTACTTCCAATGCTAGCTGTGACCCCTGTACATGTCTCTTTATTCACTTGGTTTATGATTTGTAATTTTTGTTCTTTTTTGTTTTTGGTTTTTAATTTATAACAGTCCCACTCACCTCTATTTATTCATTTTTGGGAAAACCCGACCTCCCACACCCCCAAGCCATCCTGCCCGCCCCTCCGGGGACCGCCCACCGCCGGGCTCTCCCTGCGCCCGTGTGTGTCCGGGCCCGGCCCGACCGTCTCCACCCGTCCGTCCGCGGCTCCAGCCGGGTTCTCATGGTGCTCAAACCCGCTCCCCTCCCCTATGTCCTGCACTTTCTCGGACCAGTCCCCCCACTCCTGACCCGACCCCAACCCCGCCTGAGGGTGAGCGACTCCTGTACTGTAGGGGAAGAAGTGGGAACTGAAATGGTATTTTGTAAAAAAATAAATAAATAAAATAAAAAAATTTAAAGGTTTTAAAGAAAACTATGAGGAAAAGGAACCCCGTCCTTCCCAGTCCCGGCCAACTTTAAAAACACAGACCTTCACCCCCACCCCCTTTTGTTTTTAAGTGTGAAACAACCCAGGGCCAGGGCCTCACTGGGGCAGGGACACCCCGGGGTGAGTTTCTCTGGGGCTTTATTTTCGTTTTGTTGGTGGTTTTTTGTCCACGCTGGGGCTGCGGAGGGATGGGGGGTTTACAGTCCCGCACCCTCGCACTGCACTGTCTCTCTGCCCTAGGGGCAGAGGGGTCTTCCCAACCCTACCCCTATTTTCAGTGATTTTTGTGTGAGAATATTAATATTAAAAATAAAAGCAGAAAAAAAATCCTGTTTCGCTAACGTGCTGGTTGATAGCAGGGAGAGTACCGGGAGGGCTGCAAGACCGTGATTGATGGGGAGGACTGCGCAGACCCTGGCAAGGGCGAGCCCCTCCCCGGAGGTGCCTGTGGAATGTCCAGGGCTCTGGTCCGCTCCTCAGGATGGGGGGTGCCTAATCCTACAGCCGCATTCCAGGATAAGGGGGGTGGGGAGAGGCTGGGCCGGGGGAGGGGCAGGAAAGAGGACTATAAGGCAGCGGCCCAGGCGGGCGGGATACAGGCAGGCCATGGCGGATGTCCCCGGGGCACAGCGAACGGTTCCCGGCGGCCCAGAGCCCCGGGACCCCCTGGACTGCTGGGCCTGCGCTGTGCTTGTAACAGCCCAGAATCTGCTGGTGGCCGCCTTCAATCTTCTCCTGTTGGCGCTGGTGCTAGGGACCATCTTGCTACCCGCTGTCACCATGCTGGGCTTCGGCTTCCTCTGCCACTCTCAGGTAAGCGTGCGCCCCGGGGTGTGAGTGTTGGGTGTTGGTGTGTGGTGATGCTGGCGGTGGGGTTTATGGGCCACAACTTCAACCCGCTTGGGCTGTTTCCACCGCGTGCACAGTTATGACCCAGTCGGCTTGGGCCTGACTCCTCTTCTCCCACAGTTCCTGCGCTCCCAGGCACCCCCTTGCACCGCGCACCTGCGGGACCCCGGTTTCACGGCCCTTCTGGTCACCGGATTCCTGCTCCTCGTGCCGCTGCTCGTGCTTGCTCTGGCCAGCTACCGCCGCCTCTGCCTGCGCCTCCGCCTAGCTGATTGCCTCGTGCCCTACAGCCGAGCCCTTTATCGGCGTCGGCGCGCCTCGCAGCCGAGGCAAACCCGGGCTTCACCAGGGTCCCAGGCCCTTCCCACATCAGGAAAGGTCTGGGTCTAATTATCCCCGAGTCAAGAAGAACCCTGACGGCTGCCTTCCCTCTTATTCGGCCTAAGGACTGGAAGCCCCGCATCTTCCGACCTGCCCTGCCCCCACCCCTGCCTGATCGGAGTCCTAACATCCCTTTGGGAACAGCTGCATCAGTGGACCCAGTGCTGATGAAAGCCCCTACATCTCGGAAAACCCCCTTTCCCTCCATTACCCACTTCTAAATCCTCAACTTCTGGGCTGGACCCTGCACACCTCCCCCTCAGCCCTGTCGTGAATGGGACCACAATCTCATGCCCTCCTTTTATGGGGCAGCTCATCCGGTATTTCTGGGGCTGGGGGGCGGGGCCGGAGGGGAAGGAGTGTCCACGCATCAATAAAGATTTAACGAACGTGCTCTGCGAACAGAAGGGTGGCACAAGTACAATCATCCCTGCCCTGTGCCGAGGAACAGGAAACATGTGCCAGGGCTGCAAATACGCAGAGAGGTGCATCATTCAGCCCCCTGGCCTTATCGCTTTTGTCCCTTCTTCCTGGCCAGACCTCAGAGATTTGTCCCTGACCCCAGGCATCTCCCCATCAATAGAGAGGAGGGGGCCCAGCCTCGGACGCCTGCCCTGCTCCCCTTGGGGACCTGAGCCCGTTCTCTGACCCCAGCTTAGAGGAACTCGGTGTTGCCAGGCCGGGGCGGGAAACAATGGGCCTTCCGGAGCAGGATGACACCCCCTCCCACCACAATTCTGGAGCAGCAGCGTGGGAGGGAAGATGCAGAGGCCCACCCTGGGGCCTGTTGGTCTGTCATTCAGCCCTGTCCCCCATCTCTACCTCTGAACCTGAGAGAACCTTTGGCACCCCTGGACAACCCGGTTGGGAGAGGAGGGTTGAGTGCTCCCGACTTCAGATGAAGCCTTTCCTCTAGGGGTGAGGTGTGCTATCCCTGCCCTGCCATCCCAGGTACACACAGACACGGGCCCATTCGATCATAAGTTTAATGAAGTCTGAAAGGTGTATGCGATCGTGGTCAGAGATACGGAGGCCCGGTCAGGCTCTCCCTCTGCACCTCAATGGAAACAATGTGGTGTCCGGGTACCATGGCCAGGCCCAGCACACGGGGCTCCCCGGCAGAGAAGGAATCTGGAAAGAAGGATCAGAGCATCAGGGAAGCAGGCCAGAATCAGTCCCGCCCCTCTGAGCCACGAAAACGGGTCCCAGAAAACAAGGGGTGCAGCCAGGCCCTGCAGGGGAAATGCCTTGCGTAAGTTTCCGCCACATTCCCAAAAGGGTGTGCATTCCCCAGGCACTGACCCGAAGGCTTGAGGAACTCCTGCGCCGAGCCCAGGATGACATTGCAGTCGCGATCAGTGCAGAGGAAGCAGCCAACCAATGTGCGTCCATCTGTCATGCGAATGCGCATAGTCTTGTTGAGCAGCGCCTCTAGCTGCTGCCGGGCGCGCGCAGCCGCCGAGTCCTCGCGCTCTCCGTCCGAATCCTGCGCGGGGTGGAACAAGCGCTCAGACCGCACAACCCCGGCTGCCCGCCCGAGGAACCACAGCTCCCGGCAGCCCGCAGGGCACTCACACAAAGCCCAGAGGCTGCCGGGAGCTGCAGTTCCCCACACCCTCCATCTTGCTGCTCGACTGCCCCTCAGTCCCAGAATCAGAGCCCTTGCTAACCCCGGCGCTGGAGCTGCTTTGACGCCGACTGCAACAGCCATTCTCTTCTCGTAGCAGCATGGTCGGTCCAGCTCCAGCCATTTGCCCGGAGGCCTCCTCTGGGCCTTTCAGCTTCCTAAGCACCTTTCAGGTTGAGTGGTCCGAGATCTCGCGAGCGCTCCCGATCCCTTTCCTTTCGCGAGATCACCTTTTCTCCCACTCCTAGTCTCCTCGGCAACTGCAGAGATCTCGCGAGCTTCTCCTACCTCCCTAGTGCTGTGGCTCACTGAAACGTACTACGCCGATGTCTTCAGATATCGCGAGACCTTTACCTCAGCTTCTTATCCTTTAGAAACTCTGGAATTTAGCGAGAATACATTCTTTCATACTGCTTCCTCCCTTATTTTTGTGTCTCAGGGAGATAGTCTGTACTAAATCTCCCACATAACCCAGGCCACTGAATTAAAACGAAGCATATTCGTTTTCCGCGCCTTCCCCGCTCCCCACCGCAGGCTTCAGTTCCTGAAAGCGGCGCAGCTCAATTACTTAATCTTTCTATGCCCGATGCGGGACTCACACTACGTTTCCCGTGAACACTTGCAGTCCCAGCTCCGCCCCGGTGTTTAATCTCAGTGGACGGTGGCCGGGAAAGGACAATGGTTTCCATGTCAGCGGATAAACGCGCTCCCCTTGGCTCCCGGACGCGACGGAGGTCGCAGTAGTGCGTGCGTGCTGAGGAGCAAAGGAGTAACCAAGGGAGCCAGTGACCGACAGAGCAAGAGCCATGCCGCGCCGGGGCCTGGTGGCTGGGCCAGATTTAGAGTATTTTCAGCGTCGCTATTTCACGCCGGCGGAGGTGGCCCAACATAACAGGCCCGAAGACCTCTGGGTGTCTTACCTGGGACGCGTGTACGACCTAACGCCATTGGCACAGGAATATAAGGGTAAGGGCCACACGTTGGGCTGCGGCCGGAGTGTGTGTGTGTGTGTGTGTGTGTGTGCGCTTGCTTGCTTGCTTGCTTGCCTGGTTCTTGAAGGGCTGGCATTGACAGTGGCTGCTCTTTCCCAGGGAACTTGCTGCTGAAACCCATCGTGGAAGTTGCGGGCCAGGACATCAGTCACTGGTTTGATCCAAAGACCAGAGACGTGAGTTCTGCTGGAATCTGAATCTGGGGTTGTGAGTAGAGGCAATGGAGAGCGGGAATGGGGAGGAAAAGCGGAGGCTAGCTAGATCCTTAAATAGGATCTGGCTTCAACCCCCTTGCCCCAAACCCTCCTTTAAAGATCCGCAAGCACATAGATCCGCTGACCGGCTGCCTGAGGTATTGCACCCCCCGGGGCCGCTTTGTGCACGTTCCGCCTCAGCTGCCCTGTTCGGACTGGGCCAACGATTTTGGGAAGCCCTGGTGGCAGAGGTCGTATTATGAGGTGGGGCGGCTGTCTGCCAAGAGCCGGAGCATCCGCATCATTAACACGCTCACGTCGCAGGAGCACACACTGGAGGTGAGAACTGGTGTTGGGGGGGGAGGGCAGGTTAGAGGGAACAGGAATCCCAGCAAATCTTGAGGCCGATCTTCAGGCTATCAGTTTTTCCATAACCGGTGGGAGCTATATTTTCTGTCCTTTACATTGAGGCTACTGAGGAAAGCACAGCACCTAGGTCCCCAGTGTTGGGAATTCTAGGAGTATCTGGATCACAAGGGGACAAGAGACTCCTTTATAAGACCGGGACAGCAGTTCATGCATCTTAGTGATGGTGGTCCTTCGAAGCTCTTATATGCTGTTGGACAGCATTTCAACTTTCTTATTAATCTATTGCATGGATATAGTGAGGGGACAGTTGACCCTTTATGGCCATGGGTTATTTAGAATTGGCTGCCATTCAGATCTGTAGGGTCTTGTTCATTGCATGCTGGAGTTTCAGCTTTTTTCTTTTTCTGGGGCTGTAGAGTGCCTGAAGCTGCCCTCTGCCAAGAGAGGTACTCTGATCCTAGTGTGTGTGTATATACTCCATCCAGAATTCTGGGAGTGGGTGCTTCTGTGTTCTCCAGGTGGGGGTTCTGGAGTCAATATGGGAAATCCTACACCGCTATCTCCCCTATAATGCACATGCTGCCAGCTACACGTGGAAATATGAAGGGAAGAACCTGAACATGGATTTTACCCTGGAAGAGAATGGGATCCGGGATGAGGAAGAAGAATTTGACTATCTCAATATGGACAGTACACTTCATACACCTGCAATACTTCTGTACTTCAATGATGATCTCACAGAGCTGTAGGAAAGGAGACGTACACTCATGTAGACTTAAGACATATTTTGAGTTTGGCTTTTTCTGTGCCTTGAGGAAAAGTGGTGGGGCCGAGGGCTGCCTGGACCTAGCTATCCATTCCTCTCTAGAAACTAGCCTGTGCCCTTCCGAAATGTAAAGGCCCTATTCCCTGCCTTCATTACAATTTGCTCTGAGAAAATTAGGGAGAATGCTAGAAGTGAATTAATCTTTGGGAATGATAGAAGAAGATCAAGTGTCTTGGTTTAGGGAGATGTAGAAAATGATAGAGTTCAGGCAGAACTGTTTGAGAGTTGAGAGTGGTTCTACAAAGGTGAGAGATGGAAGAACTTTTTTGGCAATGATGGAAATGAGATGTCTGCAGGAAGATGGGATTTATAAAAACAGGAATAGGAAATGTTTATCATTGACCATACAAAGCTGGCTTATCTTACTTGTAGAACAGTATTTGGCAGCTGAAACCCACAGGAAAGAAAGGAAGTGAATCATTATCAGGCAATTCAGTCTAGATATTATGCTAGGTACTTCACACACACACTTTTTTTTTCCCCTCAAAGAGAAGGGGTCTTGCCCTGTCACCCAGGCTGGAGTACAGTGGCAGAATCATGGCTTACTGCAGCCTCGAACTCCTGGGCACCTGATTCTTGGGCAAGTGATCCTCCCACCTCTGCCTTGAGTAGCTGGGACTACAGGCACCTGCCACAATGCCTGGCTATTTTTTTTTTATTTTTTGTAGACATAGGGTCTCACTCTGTTGCCCAGGCTGGTCTCAAACTCCTGGCCTCAAGTGATACTCCTGCCTCAGCTCCCAAATAGCCTCTTCAAGAAAATGACCCCAGAAGGTGGATACCACTACTATTTTACAGATAAGTCTTTTGAAACTTAGAAAAGTTTAATAGCTCAAAGGCACACTAGTTAGAAACTACTAGAGCCAGGATGCAAATTCAAGTCTGCCCGACTCCAAAGTCTATGTTCTTTGATATAAAGGGACCATCTGAATGTCTAATCTCATGTTAATATTTGTAACCACTTCTCTCAGAGCAAGTATTTGGGGTGTGGCTTTGTCCTAGGCTCCTTGCACAACAGGAAACTGTGAGCCTATTGAATAGTTAGCAGTTAATGTCTCTGGAAGGGGGTTGCAGAGTTTTCCTGTGGCAAAGAGGAGGCAAGGAAGGCTAAGTGTCAGCTAAGCAATAACTATTGGGGCTACTTCCTTGTTAATCTCATACCCCAAATTTCTCTTCTGACTTTTCTGGGGCAAAGAGGTGGGTATTTACCAAATTGAGGGAAAAATACAGTGGGGAAAAGGCCAGCAAATTAGTGGAGAGGGAGAAAAAGGAGGCAGTTTGCCACTTGGAGAAGATGAGGAAGACAGGGTTGCAAGATGGTGACTCCAGAAGAGGGACCTTGAAAGGGGTAATGTAAAGTTAAGTCAGGAAACTCTTGGGGACCAAAAAAGGACCACTATGGGGGTAAATGGCTAGATTTGGTCTCCTTCAACTTAAGGAGGGGAGGAGATTTGAGAATAACAGGTGAACTTCCTGGCAGCAGCAAGCAAAAAAATCAAGAAGAATTTAGTGTGTCTTCCTGCCAGCGGGCACCAGGGCCTAGCACAGGAGAAGGTGGCCCCTGTGAGATACTGGGTGAGCTGTCTAGGTGTTCTCTGAGGGGCTATGTGAGGCATGAACAAAGGTGGAAACATTGCTGTTGGCTTCAGCAGTATCTGAATTTACTGTGACATGGAGGGCTTAAATCTAACCCCATGGAATGCAGGAGTCCGTGAATTATCTAAATTGATCATTTTGATCTTTAATCAGCTCTGCAATTACGTGTTTGCTCAATTAAACCCTGAACTATTTGAGAATGGAACTATGCTGTTCCTCTAGTGCAAGCCTGAGGGCCTGTCCTGTGCCTATGGGATGTCCTCATTCTGCCAAAACCTGTTCCTCTTCCAAAGACTCCTACTTCAGTACCTCTTGCCAGAAACACATCCCTTTCCTCACACATCCAGTCACTCATCAAGTACATTCTGTCTCCTGATATCTCTGGAACCCATCTTTCTCCAAATTACCATCACTTCTTGTCCAGACTGTTGTGGAAACTTCCTAACCTGTTCTCCCATGTCCACTTCTGCCTTCCATGCTGCAGTGAGAGTCAGCTAAAAAAAACAAACCTAAATATCTAACTTTCCTTAGCTTTTTCAGTGGCTTCCACCTGTTTTTGGAATAAAGTCCCAAATTAAAAGGCCTTGTATAATTCAGGCTCATCTCATAACACCCCTCTTTGTCCTCTAGGGCCCGGACACACTGGCTTTCAGTTCATTAAACGTCTTGCCTCAGAGCCCTCACGCACTGTCCTCTCTGCTTGCAGTACTCTTCCTTTCACCTTCCACCTAGCTGATCCTAAATATTCCTTCTTCGGGGAGGTCTTTTCAGATTTCTTGGTAGGTCAAGACTTTCTGTTAAATCGGTTAGTACCATGCATTTTCCCAAGTTTTTGTTACATTTGTAAAATTATGGATGTAATTGGCTGGCTGCACTGCTAGATTGTAAGCTCATGAGGGCAGAGATCTTGCTCACATCTTGCTCAGTGCTATATTCTCACTGCTGAGCACACAGTTGCTGCTCAATAAATTTTGAATTAACTCAAATGTTAAGTAAACTCACTGTCTATAACTAGTGGGGGAGATGTTGTGCCCTACTAGGCAAGGAAGGACCAATAGGATGTCTGGTTCCTGTGCTATAGTCTCTACCACAGGATTCTCTTTCCTTGCTTCCCCTATATCCAAAACCAAAAAGTATTCCATAGAGGGTCTCTGGTCGAGCATAGTGGCTCATGCCTACAATCCCAGCACTTTGGGAGGCTGAGGCAGGCAGATCACCTGAGGTCAGGAGTTTGAGACCAGCCTGGCCAACATGGTGAAGCCCCATTTCTACTAAAAATACAAAAAATTAGCTGTGCATGGTGGCATGCGCCTGTAATCCCAGCTACTTGGGAGGCTGAGGCAGGAGAATCACTTGAACCCGGGAGGCGCAGGTTGCAGTGAGCTGAGATAGCACCACTGCACTCCAGCTTGGGCAACAAGAGCAAAACTCAAAAAAACGAGGGTCTCACCAGATATTTTGGGAGCAATCCGTCTGTCATTTCCCCATATGGCCACCAGGTGGCTGTAATTACCTAGCCAGTCAAGGAGACCAGCCTGGAGATGGGAAAACCCTTCCAAAGTTAGGATTGAAAGGTGGCCCTGTAGATTTATAAGAGGGAGGGAAGGACCAGGAAAAAAAAGGAAAAACCACATGGCTGCCATTCTATTAGCATCAGGCTTATGCCTGCTTTTTTTGGCACAAGCACATACCAGGAAAGGAGTGCAGTTAGAGAATTCATGGGATAGAACAAAAAGGGGGTCCTGATTACAGGTATGAAAGTTCATGGGGTGAAGTATGGAGGTGATAAAGGAATAAAGACATCATAAATATTTAAATAATAGAATGCATTCATTTATTAAGACTTAAAAAAAAAAACCCAAAACTTTCCAGTTGGCACTGCTTTGTTCTCTAAATAGCCAAGTGGATATTTGCATGAGGAGTATGTAAATAATGCTTTAGCCTAAAACCTAGAAAGCAAACAGAACATGAACGCAGGGTCCAAGTCCTCTTGTGGTAATCTGTTTTGTGTTGGAGGGTGGTGGGTGGAGGATGGAATGCTGAAGGGAAGGCTGCCTGTCCTCGGTGAAACACAGCAGCTTCAAAGGACTCAACTGGCAAGATTTCCCCAGGTGAGGTCCCTACATGCACACATCACTGGAGGTCATAAAGAGGCATATGTTCCTTGTAGGAAGCTTGCCTGCTCACTGGGATAAAGCACGCACACACGAAAAGATAAATGAGAATAGTACATGATAAAGAACTAAATTATGGTATAGAAAAAGTTGCTACCCTCATGGCAAGTCAAAGGTGGATTATTAACCTGGCCATCCTAAACTGTTTCTGAATACTCTGTGTGTGTGTGTGTGTCTGTGTGTGTGTGTTGATGTGTATTATTTTGGGAAAAGAGTGCTTTAATTTCCATCAGCTTCTCCAAATATCCCAACCCCCCACTCCTACTCCTGAAATAGCATACACACACACACACATACACAACAATCATTTAAAGAGCCTCAAAAGTAAAATATCAAAAGTGACAATACAATGTGGTCCCAATATTCTGGCACCTGTCTCAATGGTCTGCCTCAACCTGTGGCAGAACCATGGCAACCCATGACAGAAATTCCTAAAGCTTTAACCTTTGGGGCTAAATTTATGGCTAGTCTCAAGCGTTTTACTACTGTGCCAAATGTTGATCTGGCTGTATGTACTTTGGAGCTGAGTAAGGGGATCTATCATTTGGTATTGATACTATAACATCCAATCATACATCAGGGTAAAGTTAATGCATCCAGCCCCACAGCTAAGTTTAGGGAGTCCACATGGATGTCCTGCTGTTGGGAGAACAGCCACTTGATGATGGATCAGTAAGAGCACATGGTTTTGCTGTAAGAAAGCACACAGAATTTGCAACCTGAATGATCTTTATCTTGGAAGCCAAAGATTAAGGATTCAAAATCAAATAGATATGCAGCCCAAATACTAGGTATTCTGGGCACACCAGAAGCACTACAAAGAAAAACCCAAAATGCTGGTAAATGAGTAAGTGAAGCAAATCCATCAAAGCGGTAAAGGCCCGAGTGCAGTGGTATGATCACAACTCACTGTAACCTCAAACTCCTGAGCTCAGGCAACCTTCTGCCTCAGAGTAGCACCACCATGTCTGGCTAATTTTTTATTTTTTGTAGAAACAGGGTCTTCTTATGCTGCCCAAGCTGGCCTCAAACTCCTGCCCTCAAGCAATCCTCCTCCCTAGGCTTCCCAAAGTTTTGGGATTATAAGTGTGAGCCACCATGCCTGGCCAATATTTTAAATAATTGTGTGCCTGGGCTGGGTATGGTAGCTCATGCCTGTAATCCCAGCACTTATGAGGCGGAAGGATCACTTGAGGCCAAGATAAGCCTGGCCAACATGGTGAAACCCTGTCTCTACTAAAAATACAAAAATTAGCCAGGTGTGTGACAGGTGCCTGTAATCTCAGCTACTCGGGATGCTGAGGCAGAACTGCTTCAACCCAGGAGGTAGAGGCTACAGCGAGCCAAGATCACCCCACTGCACTCCAGCCTGGGCAACAGGGTGAGACTCCATCTCAAAAAAAAAAAAAAAAATTGTGTGCATGAAACAAAGTTTGTGTTAAGTACTTATGTGTAGAATTTTCTACTTGTGGTGTCATGTAGGCATCCAAAAGTTTCAGATTTAGGAGCATTTTGGGTTTCTGATTAGGAATGCTCACCCCGTACATACATATACATATATAGAAGCATATTATTAATATAGTGAAAGTACTATAAAGACAAACAGAATCATATGAGAGTAATGGTTGAATGGTCAGAGGCATGTCTGAGGAGATGCTTACATGACTAATCTGTATTACCTGTAGGGCTGCATTTACCAACATTAACCCTCCCAACAAACTTAAGGCTATTTTTATTTATACTGAAAAATGACACGAAAGCAGAGAGAGGTTAAGTAACTTGCCAAAAGTCATACAACTAATAAGTACCAAGGTAGTCATGGCCCATCCAACTAACATACCGCCTCCCTGCATGTCAAACATGGGATGCTATTCTAGTTACCTATCACTGCATATTTTGCCAATGAATTTGCAATATGGGTAGGGTTCAGCAGGGACAGCTCACTTCTACTCCAAAAGGTGTGAAATGCTGGGATCCAGAGGATCCACTTTCAAGATGGCTCACTCACATAATTCTCAACTTAATGCCGACTATCATTTCTTCTCCATGTGGGCCTCTGCACAGGGCAGTTTGGGCTTCCTCACAGCATTGTGGCTGGGTTCTAAGAACAGCATCCCAAGAGAACCAAGAGGAAGCTGAATCATATGACCTAGCCTCAATTCCAAGGGGAGGGAACTAGCTCCCACCTCTCAGTGGGAAGAGTCTCAAAATTACACTGTAAGAACACATGGGATGTGAGACATTATTATGGCCATATTTAGAAAATACAATCCACCAGAGATGCACTGGAGGTAGAAGGGGGAGTATCCAGCCCTGTCTAGGGTGGAGTGGAGAAATGGTCTTTGAAGGGTTGTGTGTAAGGGAGATATGGCATTGATACTTGAGCTGAGCCTTTCTTGAAAGCCTAGGTTAGAATCGTGGCCCTATCATTTATCCTATTCATTAAAATGATACTGAGCATCTGTCAGGCGAAGTCCTGGAAACTGTGGATATAAAAAATAATCTTCTCACCTTGCAATCATCTTAAGTGAATCTCTGAAGAGAGGAGTGCTAACAGTAAACTCGATGGTTTGGAATAACAGCTACCAATTATTGAGTATCATTGTAGCCAGTGCTTTATGTAAGTTAGCTCACTTAACCCTCACCACAACCCTTTGAGACAGCCATTAATATCACTGTTTTACAGATGAAGGAGCTGAGACTTGAAGAATAAACAACTTGCCCAGAGTCATAGTTATTTAGTGGCAACAGCTTGGATTCCCGGTGCTACCTTTTTCTGCCCTCTAGAAGCTTACAGTTTAGTGGGAGAGTCATGAAAGTTTGTGAGTCTCTTAACTTGTCATCCTGTTTCATTATTTACACGGTACCCAGGGGAACTTTTAAAGTTCCCATGTTAAAAGTCTTCAAAGACAACCTACTTCTCTTAAGATGAACTTAGAAAACCTAGTCCAGAAGGTAAGATTTGGCTCTTCCGGGCTCTTCTTTCTCTCCCAGGTTGGCCTTTCAGTTTCTGAAATGCCCCCAAAGCTTTGTGTCAGAGCCTTCTTACCTGCTGTTCCTCGGCATGCAACACTCTACCTGCCACTCTTCAGTTGGCCACCTGGCTCCTTAAAGTTGCTTACGTGACACTTTCTCTGATACCTACAATTATGTCAAGTCCTGTAATGCGCCCTCCCCAGGGTGCTCTGAAACTTCATAATTATAATTAAATATTTACAATAATTCACTGTTAAATGTCCATTTTCTTCCCTTCTTAGACTGTAAACATCATGGGGCCAGGGACCACATAGCTTATTTGTGAAACACCCAGCATCTAACCCAGTGCCCAGCCCAGAGCAGTCACTCAATAAATATAGAATGAACAAATAGTTGGTGAATCCTACAAAAGAGCTAAGTATGAAACACATATCAGGAGCACCTAACCCAGTCCTGAGGGAGGGGGTGGGGAATCAAGCCTTCTGGGGAAGTATCATCTCAAACTAAGGTTTAAAGGACAAGGAGGAGTCAGTCAAGCGGAGAGGAAGAGGACAAGGGATAGGTGGAGGAGAGAATGCTTCCTGCACAGAATAAATAGGAAATGCAAACATAGATTTGAGAGAGTGTGGATAGCTTGCAGGCAGAAGGAACTGCAGCATGGTAAAGTTAAGAGGAACATGGGAGGCAAGGGGAGGGCAGCCAGTGAGAGATGTTGAGCCAGATCAAATCACAGAAGGCTTTGTAAACCAGGTTTTTTTTTTTCTAATTGAAACATAATTCACATACCATAATATTCACCCTTTTACAGTGTACAATTCAAACTTAAGTGTTTTTTTTTTGTTTTTGTTTTTTGAGACAGAGTCTTGCTCTTGTTGCCCAGGCCAGAGTGCAATGGCACGATCTTGGCTCACTGCAACCTCCACATCCGGGTTCAAGCAATTCTCCTGCCTCGGCCTCCCGAGTAGCTGGGATTACAGGTGCCTGCCACCACAATGGGCTAATTTTTGTATTTTTAGTAGAGACAGGGTTTCACCATGTTGGCCAGGCTGGTCTCAAACTCTTTACTTCACGATCCACCTGCCTTGGCCTCCCAAAGTGCTGGGATTACAGACATGAGCCGCTGTGCCCAGCCCAGAGTTAAGGGTTTTATAGAGAATCCCATGATCATATTTGCATTTTAAAAAGGTGACTTGACCACAATGTCAAGAGAGAAGGAAATGAAGGAGGGAAAGTGGAGACAGAGAGACTGGCGCTAATGCAGTAGTCCAGGAGAGAGCCGAAGGCAGCCAGAACTAGGTTAGTGGCAGTGGAGATCGGAGAAAATCAACTAAAGTTAAGAGAGAATTGCAGGACTTGATAATTTGGGCAGGGGTCTAAGGCAAAGGGAGGAGTCAAGGATGACACCTGTGTCTGGCCTGGATGGTGAGTCCACTGGCAGAAAAAGGGACTGCTGGAAGAGGACTTTGGGAAGGAAAGTGATGAATTTTTAGTTAGCTATTATGAGGTAACTCTGGGGCATGCAGGCACATGTCCAGATCTTACTGGATATATAGGACTGCATCCTGAAAGACAGCTCTGGGCTAGAGTTCTAGGTGAGGGAATTATTAGCAGATAGTAACTGTAGCCAGTCAAAGATCAGATCCCCTTAAGGGCAAAGTGTAAATTAAGCAGAGTTTTGGGGAGGAACACTATCAAAGGGAGGGGAGGAGAAAAGGACACTGGAAAGGAAGGCTAGAGAGGTGAAAGAGGCCAAGCAGGGAATGTTGCCATGGAAGTCAAAGAGAGAGCATGGAAGAGAAGGGAGTGGTAAACACTATCAAGTGCTGCACACACGTCAAGTAAGATGAAGCCCTGAGTGACCATGGATTTAGCAAACAGCAGGTCAAGGTGGCTTTGTTAGAGAAGCCAGGCTGTAGCTGGACAAGGTAGGCATGGGATATTCTTAGAAGAAATCCAGCTGCAGAAAGGAGTGTACTGGCTTTATAACCATGCACAAAATACCTTCCTTTAGATTCCTTCAACCTTAAAGTACAGATAATAGAAAGTAAGGTGACAGTAGGGCAACAGGCAAGACCCAGCACATGGTCACCCTAAAAAGATGCTACCTTATAGTATTGTTGAGAAGATTAATTAGGGTATGGGAACCTGCCCAGCGCTATGAAGAGTCCTTGGAAAAGACACTCAGAAAACCTTCGTTTTCTTTCCCATTCCTTGTGCTAGCCATTCTTTATTTAGTAATGGGTCCTCCCCTCAGGATTTTGAAAGTTGGCATTTTTCAGCATCCAGGTAACATCTGTCATGATTAGAAAATTAACAGACACTATCTGTGACTAATACTCAGTTTCCAACCTAACAATCGTGTTTGTTCCTCCATTAGGAGAAGTTTTTGAGTCAAGTACAATATGGTTTGTTTCATATCATGCCAGAATTGAGGTTCTTTATACAGTGATGGAAAGCAAGGGAATGGGGCCAGCTACTGGGAGAAGAGTAACTAAAGTCAGTCCTTTGCTCCTAAAGCAGTTTAAGGTGCTATTCATAAGTCAGGTTGTGAATCTTCTCACCTTGCCATCATCTTAAGTAAATCTCTGAAGACAGGAGTGCTAACAGTAAACTCGATGGTTTAGAATAACAGCTACCAATTATTGAGTATCATTGTAGCCAGTGCTTTATGTAAGTTAGCTCACTTAACCCTCACCACAACTCTTTGAGACAGCC